CACTACATTGTTACGTGAAATAACACCATACTAGATTAACACATCCATCAGATCAATTAACTCAAGAAGTTTCAAGAGCAAGTTTGTGGCACCTAATGTCTAACATTAGAGATGTCTTTCTCATTTAAAATTAAGTTTAAGCTTCCTGTAAGATACACTTTGGTTCTAGCAGTAACTCAGCCTTAAAGCGTCTGTGATTTCCTAGCTTCTGCAAGGAGATACTGCCCTTTCTTTCACAGTACCAAAAAATTAATGTCTTTACTATGGGCTTATTTTCCTGCTAGGTGTGACTCTGACCAGCAGGCAAAAGGTAAGGTGCCTGATCTCCTGCAAGCTGTTACATATGCAACTCGAGTCAATGAGGACAGTTTCTGAAAAAATGCTATCATTTAATCCCTTACATTTGGGCAGTAAAGTCTCTCCACTGAACTTGCAACTGCTGTTCACTATTGACTTGTACACATATAAAAAAATGCCAAGTCCATAAATACTTGTAGCCCATAGCCTGTCATCAGGCCTGCCCGACTGCCAAGAGGAAGCTCTCAACTATGCTGAAAAAAAAACAGACTGACTTTTCCAGAATCAATTCAGTTTTCAGGCCTTGTACTGGTCTTTTAATATGATGTAACAAAAAGGAGGTTTTATTTCCCAGATACCTAGAAAGATTTCTTGTACACAAAAGCAAGTAGATCACTCATTCAGTAAGACAATAATTCTGTCTATACATGCAGCCAGGAGATCATTACATCATTAGTAGTATTTAGCATTATAATGAGAACAGGGTGTCACTAGTGGCCAAGCTCAACAATCTTCAAAAATCTGTACCTGCATCAGTGAGCCTCTTCACCAGCTGAGCAACAGTAGATCTCTTCTGGCCAATTGCAACATAGATACAGTACAGCTTCTTTTTCTCATCTGTTCCATCATTAAATCGTTTCTGATTGATTATTGTGTCAATTGCAATTGAAGTTTTCCTGTGTAAGACAGAGGTTGGTGAGCTAAGCTGTCTACAGTTCTCCCAACCTCTACACAGTTCTGTGTTCCACTTTGGACATCAGCACATGCTGTACCCAAGTCTCTGTTTAAGGAAATATTTTTAGCTTGGGCATTTAACTTACCCGGTCTGCCTGTCACCAATGATCAGCTCACGCTGGCCACGACCAATTGGCACCAAGCTGTCCACAGCCTTAATACCAGTCTGCATAGGTTCACGCACAGAAATTCTGGGAATGATCCCAGGGGCCTTTAAGCCAACTCTTCTACGTGCCTTAGATGTAATAGGACCCTTAAAAGACAGGAAAAAAACTGTTGCAGTGTGCATCACATAGATAAAAGCAGAGGTAGTACACACCTAGTTACACTTACCTTCCCATCAATTGGATTGCCCAGGGCATCTACAACACGGCCCAGCAGCTCTTCCCCAACTGGAACATCCACAATGGCACCAGTCCTCTTCACAACATCCCCTTCCTTGATCAGTCTGTCATTACCAAACACGACAACACCAACATTGTCGGGCTCCAAATTCAAGGACATACCCTAGAACAAAAATCACATCATCCTAAGAAAATTCATACCAACATTTACAAAAATTTTGACAGTTTAATACCAACGTGATTATTCTATGTGTACAATATCCAACATAATCTACCTCAATCTTATTTATAAGAAATCAATGTTCTGCTTTTATGTACAATGCACGTATGTTCTTCCATACTGGTTAAACAACCTGCCTAAGCCTTCAGCATACTACATAACTATACTTGCAGCAGTCTAGTGTTCAGTCATTTATCTCTCCAAAACAGAAAGGATACGCAGGGTTCAAATACAACATTTCTTGACTAAGAATTGGCCAAGGGAAAAACACTGTCTGCTGCTCTGCTTAAGGCAAATTTGGTCATTAAAAATACTGCAAAAGCTGTTGCATTACTCTCAGAACAGTCGGACAGCTTTTTAACTCGTCTACTCTTAGGACTATAGGAAGCCACCAAACTGCACACTCTATTGGAGCCAAGAAGCTATTTGTTATTCAACAGTAAACAGAAAAGCCAGCCTGAAGCCAAAGAAAACAAAATCCAATTGCCCATTAGTTCTTGTACTTCCTAGATGAAGACAAATAAAACTCAGATGCTGGCCAAGAACCAGATACTGATACTGAAAGCAAGGTGTTACAAATTCAAAGAATAATTAGTTTTTGTAGTATTATTTCAACTTGTTACTACGTATCGAGGTTGCAATGAAGTCTGTAAAAGGTCCATACGGGTACCTCCAAGTGTAGTCTCATGTTGTTCTCAAAGAAGTCTTCTTTATATCTCTAGGCAAAACAAACTGCTTCAGTGAAAGCTTACCTTCAGTCCAGAGGAGAATTCAACCATTTCTTCTGCTTGGACATTTCTTAGGCCATACACACGGGCAATACCATCACCAATCGAGAGCACACGGCCAGTCTCCTCAAGTTCAGCAGATGTGTCAGCTCCCAAAATACGTTCCTCAAGAATAGAGGATACCTCTGCAGTACCTGGAAAGAGGTGTTTCAAACCAGATTTAGCACATTAAGGCACAGTATGAATTCAGCCTTCAATTCACAAGCCAAGATACCCTTCCTCAGGTATGTCACAAGGTCCAGCAAGCAACACTCTCCCTTATATAGGATGCATAAGATAAATTTCCGCTTCTGTAAAGATGAATTGTTTCTGTATTCACAGACAATAAAAGCAGCTTCAACTCATCATAACAATCCAGCTTTGACCAAAACACTGTTGGCTATTTAGTTATCAGTTTCCTTCATTATGTCCTAGATTATTAGCAATTGCTCCTCCTGTAAAGCAATTAGATTAAACCAATACTCTTAGCTCAGAACAGACATGCTAGCTCCACTTGCAGAACATTTACTGAGACCGGAGACATCAAAATACCCTGTCAACTGATTTGTAATCCAAGATCTCAATATATTTAAAGGAACTCAATTACATTTAAGGAGCAATTTATTTGATATAAGCTCTAAAAATGTATTCTCTATCTTCCTCACATTTGTTCTGCATTGTACCTTCAACAGCTTTTTTATTTCCTCAGCTAGGAAACAGTAATTAACATTGTGAAACTGTTATTTCCTAATAATACTTTTAATCACCCTTAAACCACTTCAGAAATTGTACATGAATCACTACGAAAAATAGAGCTATGCAGTGCCGCTGCCTTCTCTAAACACCATGATGTTGGCAGCAAAAAATTTATACTCAAGGACACAAGGTCAAACACCACCAGGCCCAGCAAAGTCATCCGCTCTTCCACACTGTTACAAACAAGACAGGAAACTGGAATTTGAGACCCTTCTTTTTTAAATAATTCTTCAGGAGTTGAAGACTGAATTGAATCCTCGTGAAGCAGGTAAGGTGTGTAAGCCAACTAACATGTCACTACTCCTTTGATTTAAGCATAATTTGAGTAGTTATTAAAGTGAAGTTCTCTGGAAGTGACTGTGCAAGAGATAGTTAACCGTTAAATACTGCCAGGACATAAACGTCAAGTGTTTTGTCAACTAACACACATACCCCTCACACTCCATATTCAAATGCCCTTTTGTCTGACAGAGCAAGTTCTTAAATCACACTCTCATACAAAGACCTTTCTCAGACTCACCAGTTTTCTGAAAGCATGTTTTGGAGGCATGAATATTTCTTGTAGCAATAAATGCTGCACCCAGGGTGTTTCTGGAAATCTAAAACAAGTAATTGTTTCAGTAACAGTGAGATTTTCTCAATCATTCAAACAAGTATTAAGAGAAAACACAGTGAAATTCTTGATCATGAGCTTATCCATTTAATGTGTCTCAGTTTTGAGTGAGCTTCACAGCACTCCAGTCACAAGCTGTGGTTATGGAACCAAGTCCAGCACTATTAAGCAAGTACAGATGGTAAAGGAGATTGCTCTAAATTATTCGCTGCATTTTTCTGCATTGCACTGATGTCACCATCACAGCACCGCAGCAGCTCCCAAACCAACACCTCCTTTCGTTTGCCACCTCTGCGCTAAACATCGTAACCTCGGGGCGTAAAGGAATCCGTGCACCTCTCGTGGTTCTGCACAAGCAATTAAATAAGACGCCATTTTCTAAGGGTTGGCCTTTCCAATAAAAATCTAACTGCAGAATTTCCGAAGTATGACAATAACGTATACAATAGCAAAAATTAAAAAAAAAAAAAAAATCTGGGATAATGAGTGCATTCAAAACCTATAATCCTATATCCCAAGCCCACTGCAGCACTATGCAGCGTTAACGCTATTTCTCTGAAAGCCTGGTCAGGCCTCTCCTCCATTCACCTTCACAAGGGACAACGGCGGGGAGAGGGCCCTGACAGATCTTCGCACCCTTGTCCTCCCCACGAACAGCGGGGGAAAAAACGGCACCTGGCACAGCCTCGCAGCTCAAATGCCTAACCCTGACTACGACCCAGCAGCCTTCAGACACGACCCCGAGCCCCAGCTGCGCCAACCCGCACCCCAAGCAGAAGGGCACGCCGCGCCCCAAAAGCCCTCCAACCTCCCAGGGGAGGGCACCCCCGCTTCTCAGCAAAGGGTCGGCCCCCGCCATCGCCCTGCGCTGAGGCGAGTGCCCCCCGCGCACCCCCCCCCACCACCCCCGCTGTCCCAAGGCTCCCGACGGCGGGAGCCCGCGGCCCCTCAATGTCACCGCGGGCCACAAGATGGCGGCGGCGGCGCGTATCCTCCTCCCCTCTCGCCCCAGGGAAAGAACAAGGCGCTCACCAGGCCGGCCCGCCGCGGCAGGGAGCGGGCGAGGGCGGCAGCGACGCGGGCGGACAGCATGGCGGCGGCGGCGGCGGCGGCGGCGGCGGGACGCTCCGGGAGGAGAGTGAAGCGAACAGCAGGCGGCTGCCGGCCCGGCGCTCTCCCCACAAAATGGCGGCGGCGCGCTCCGCCCCTTTTGGGCGGCGAGGCCACGCCCACGGAGCGGAAGTGCCGCCTCAGCCGTGCCGCCCGCCCCTGCGCCTCGGCGGCGTGAGGGCGGGTAGAGAGCTATATAAAAATAATAATTTAAAAAAAAAAAAAAATTTAAACGGAGATTTTAGAAAAATACCCTGCTGCGGAAGGTGCTCTTAGAATATCTTTGGGCGGGCAGCGGCGGCGTGAGGCGGTGAGGTGTGAGGGGCAGCAGTGAGGGGCAAGATGTCGCCTTTTCTTTTCTGGGAGCTGGGGGATGCTCGCCTTCCTGCCCGCCCCCCGCTGTAGCAGCGGGTGGTGGCCGAAGGAAAGCGTCAGGGGAGTGCTGGCCTCTCACGCCTTGGAAGCGGGGGTAGAACAGAGGCAGTGTGCGGTGAATGCTGATGAGGCGCTTAAATTTTTATTTATTTATTTATTACGCAGCCCACTGATAACTGCATGAAATACAAAAGCTGGCCCCACTTGTGCCATAAGAGGTGATGGGGCAGCAGCGCCACGAGCTCTGGGGAATCTCGCTGTGAGAGGCCGTTGTGCTTCCAGGGTTTTCTCCACGCTCTGATCCAAGGCCTAACCCTGTGGGGACAGCGCACTGGGCAGCAGGTCGCCTGTGGGAGACAGGATTTGGTCTGTCAGGGAGAAAATGCCACAGCTGGGGTAAGTGGGGTGTAGAAGAATTTCTGATGGAGAATGGCCACGATATCTTGTTGCAAGGTTTGGACACTCCAGGCCTGAGATCAGACTGCTAACAACACCTGTGTTATGAGAATGACCTTGAAGGGCTGTTTTGTGAGGAACTGTATCTGTTGAGTAAAGATAAATGAGGAATTTTCCCAGCTATGTATCTGGCTAAGCTAAGCACAAATATGCAGCAAACAGCAAGATGCTTGCCTATCACAGTTTCCCTTTGGGTGTGTGGTAAGTTGCTTATGACCAATAATTAAGGGGTATGGGGCACGTGAGCAGCGGGTGCTTGCTTTGCGAAGGATATAAGCAAGGGATTCGGGCGATAAAGTGGCAACAACATGTAGCCGCATCGGTGTGATTGTTGTTCCTCGGCCGACACTCCGAGGGGCCCTGTTGCGTCTGGCGCCCGAACAGGGACCCTGTAGAAGACTAGGACTGTGATGAGGTGTCTGAAGTCTGGCGTTTAAATATGGGAAGTCTCCGCAGCATTGGACGACGGATCCAGTTTGGGAGCCGGAGAGTTGGGGGCAAGAGAGTTGCTGCAGTAGGAAAAGACGCTAGCAACCAGTCAGCTGGCCGACTGACCCTTGCTGGAGGTAAGTCCGCGATGGAAACGGACGCGGTAATAAGACTTGCTCCTTAGCATGCTAGGAGAGGCAAGAGGCTAAAGGAAGGAGATGTCCACGATCTGGTTAAGTGGGCTAGAAAACGGGACAGAATGGGTCACCCCTCACTAATATTTAGCCAACAGGAGTGGCGCGAAGTAGGTGATTTATTGTGGGACGAGAGTATCACTGGAGGCAATAAAGGCAGTGAAGCACGACAGCAAGGGGTGGTCTGGCGAACGATCATAAAAGCTCTGGGGGAGATGCCAGCAGAAAAGAAAGTAGCTGCTGCTGCTGCTATGGCGGCTGTCGGCGCTGTACCATCTCCACCGGTCCCTGCCGAAACCAATCGTCCCTCACGATTAGCCACCTTCTTCGGGGTTAATCAGCTGCTCCACTCTATTAAGGGCATGTCACCAAGTATTGTTTGCTCCACCGCGCAAGAAGCGGCAGAGAAATCCGGCGGCGCGGGAGAACAAGGGGCAGTGCCCGCGGAACGCGGTGCAGCGCCGGGCAAGAACCCGGAAGTAGCGCCGCCGCGAGCCGAGGAGACGGGCCCACCTGACCCCTCCCGCCAGGGGGGAGCGGCGTGCCGCCCCAAACTCCGCCTGCCCCCCCCCCCCCCCGCCCTTCGGATGGTTCCGGCCCTGACGGCGCGTCAGCGTCTGGCTGAGAGTCAGACGGCGGCTCTGTCCGAATTAAAGCGAGAGGGTCACACATCGGGAAAGGACAGTGACAGAGTCCAAGGACTTGAAAGAAAATTACAGCAGTTAAGCTACAGAACAGAACTCTGCATTTACAATTACAAGAAAAGGAAGCGCTGCCGTCAGCCCCGCTATACCCACTCCCGTCACCCTTACCAGAACCAGCTCTGCTTTTAGCTCAGTCCCGATGGAGTGGGGCGATTTGTGATGCCTTGTTAGAAGGGGACTGGCATGCTGCTGGGGCGTTGGCCTGCCCAGTAGTGACAAAAAATGGGGGACCTAATTGGGAACCCCATGATTGGAAGATCTTGAACCAGGCCAAACAAACTGTGATTTATGGGCTACAATCTGAGGCAGCGAGAAACATTATACAGTTCATTTTTACAGCTGATGTTTTATGTCCAAATGATAGTAACCAGATAGCATCACTGCTTCTATCACCATCGGGGAAAGAGAGTGGAAGAGACTAGCGGTAGCAGAAACCAGTGTTCCCCAACGACAGGGAGATGCACTCTATGGAGTGACAGCTCAGATGCTAATTGGGGACGGACAATATTTGACAACAGCTGCCCAATTAGCTCTGCCGACTCTGGTCCACCAGCAGTCACAATCATTGGCTCATCGTGCATTGTTAGCAGTACCAGATAAGAAGAAAGCACCATCTTGTATGTAACGGTGCGACAGGGGGCCACTGAACCATTTAGCCAATTCGTTGACCAACTCCATGTGGTGTTGAAAGATGCTCCAGAACTCACTGAGGGCATGCAGACCCAGTTGTTCTGCACACTAGCTTTTGACAATAGTAATGCAACCATCAAGCACCTAATAGCCACACTCTCGCAAGGATGGGGGGTAGATGACATGTTACTGTTAACATCTCGGGCTGAGCAATCGAACCAAGCTGCAGCTTTCTCAGCAGCCATGAAGGAAACTTTTCATCAGCCATTAACGGCAATGGCTGCTGCGTTGAGAAGTAGTGGAGGGTGGCCAAAGAGGCAGCTGGCTAAAAGTAGTCAGACCACGGGCGCATGCTATCGTTGTGGTGAGACAGGTCATTGGAAACATAGATGCACCAAGCCTGTTTGGTGCCGTACCTGCAATACAGACACTCATGCAGCTATGGCCTGCAGAAAGTTGGGAAACAGCAGGCGCAGCGCGAAGGGACCTCACGCGATGACACAAGTCCAGGTCTCAGCCCCCCAGGTTTCCTACTCAACCACACACCAGCGACCCCAGGAAGCCTCGGAGCAGATGCGACAACAGCAGTAGAGACCACATTAACCAGTACTTCTGTGACACTTATAGCAACCACAGCATATGGACCTTTGTTTTCTGGAGATTCCCCAGTGGGTGGGTTATTAATTGGTCGATGGTCCATGGGAAAGCAGGGCGTTGTTGTGCTCCCTGGTGTCATTGATGCGGATTACACAGGTCAAATCCAAATTATGGCATATGCATTGCAACCACCGGTAACCGTTCCAAAAGGTAGTAAAATTGCTCAAATTGTTGCTTTAGAGTCAAAACATCCCTTGCATCAATCACTTCCAGAGGGCCCTTCCGACATTCGAGGAGACGCGGGTTTTGGGTCAACAGGATATGATGTGTTTCTAACACTTGATTTAAATCAGCGACCATAGCAACGTCTTGGAATCAGTGGATGGTTAGCTAGCTTATTAAGAGAAGGCCTTCGCTTGCTTATTTACTGTCTGCTTATATTTTTAGCTGTCTGTCTTTGTATTTCATGTATATGAAAAGGGCTGACAAAGGTCATGAATCAAGTCTGGATTGTCCAAAAAGAAAAAGGGCGATATGTAGAAGAATTTCTGGCAGAGAATGGCCACGATATCTTGTTGCAAGGTTTGGACACTCCAGGCCTGAGATCAGACTGCTAACAACACCTGTGTTATGAGAATGACCTTGAAGGGCTGTTTTGTGAGGAACTGTATCTGTTGAGTAAAGATAAATGAGGAATTTTCCCAGCTATGTATCTGGCTAAGCTAAGCACAAATATGCATCAAACAGCAAGATGCTTGCCTATCACAGTTTCCCTTTGGGTGCGTGATAAGTTGCTTATGACCAATAATCAAGGGGTGTGGGGCGCGTGAACAGCGGGTGCTTGCTGTGCAAAGGATATAACCAAGGGATTCGGGCGATAAAGGGGGACGACATGTAGCCGCATCGGGGTGATTGTCGTTCCTCGGCCGACACTCCGAGGGGACCCCATTGCGGCGGGGTGTGATCATGTCCCCGTGGTAATCCATTGCGGGTAGGGAAGCGCAGATCCCCAACAGGCCTTTCTGGGCATTGAAAAGTGAAAAGCCTTCAACTGTTCTGGCACGTGTTGTGTCAGACACGGTGCTTCAGCAGTGTTTCTCCTGCAGATTATTTTGATCTGAGGAAACACTAACCTGATAGCCTCCCCCCTTTTCAGGGGATGCTCACACTAACCCGATAGCCCCCCCCTTCTTGGGATGCTCCCCAGATGGCCTCCGTCCCTCAAAGGATGGTAACTCCCTTGCAGTGGAATGAGAAAGAACAAGATGGGCCATTGATGGGCCCTATCAAAGGAAGGTAACTCCCTTGTGATTGAATGGAAGGAAGACAGGATGGGCCATCTCTGGTATCTCTTGTCCATGAGGTAAGAGGGGAACTAAAACCACTGAGCCATAGAGACAAAGCAGCTGCAAATTAGCCCAGATTTGAAGGACAAGGTGTCCGGGACTACAGGACTGAGTTTGGGCAGAAGTAAGGGTCAGCTAGCGAACACAGTGAAGAAGACTACGGGCCTTCATCTGCAGACCCCTGCCCACGACCACCAGGGAGCACTGCCCAAGTGTGACGGGAGGAATTTGGGGTGGGGGGCTATGTTAATGATTTCTCAGAACTAATTGTAATATTCCCTCCCTGTCCTCAGAGTAGTGATGCGTATGTATTAGGATAGATAATGAATATGTAACATTTTATACAATAAAAGGGAGCCCCTTGTAGCTCCTGGGGTGCACGCATTTGGAGGAAATTATTCCCCCATGCGCCCAGCGCTGAATAAACATACCTACTTTATAACCTTACTGGTTGTAAAGTCATGATTCCGTGCCTCAATTTCAGTAATCAGTTTGAATAATTTAAAATGGCCTAAAAAAAAAAAATTGGTTTACATTTGAGTCTCGTGTCTTTGTACTTTTGCTATGTCGCTGAAGAAATGTGTTTCCTTGGTAATGAAGAGTTTGGTGCAGAAGATGTGTTTTTATGGTGTATTTTCTGACACAGAGTACAAATTTTTACATGAATTTATGTAAGAAATTGTATACAAACTATTTGGATGTCAATTTTTACCCTTGAACTTCTAGTATAATTCACGCCTTCTTGATTAAGGGTTTTATATATCTTTGTATGCATGAAATACACGAAACACACAATTCCACCAAAAAAAAAAAAAAAAAAAAAAAAAAAAAAAAGAGAGATCCCCTGAAATTATTTTACTGATTCAAGACATTTTTTTGGAAGTACTGGGTATAGGGGGAAACACATTCTTCTGAAACACTTCAGAGCATTTGAATCCTCTTTGGCAAAAGCGATCACTGCAGCTAGTTGAATTGATTTTTAAAATAATTTTCCGTGTTTCAAGAATTTAAAGCCGAGAAACTGGGGTCCTGCGGGAGCGGGGGGGGTGGGGTGGGGTGGGGTGTCCCGCCCCTGACCTATAAATCCCATGAGGCCCCGCGGCGCGCGGGGGTCGCCGGGATTGAGGCGGGAGGAGATGGAGTTTGAACTGGAGAGGAAGCTGCGGCGGGTAACGGCGCGGCTGGTTCGGGGGTTTTGGGGAGCGGGGGGAGGAGGAGGAGGAGGAGGAGGAGGAGGAGGAGGAGGAGGAGGAGGCAGTGTCCCATCCTGGGGCCACCTCAGGCAGTGCCCCGCTGCCCCACACCCGCCCGGGGGATCCCCTTCCCCTCCAGCCCGGCCCAGGGCCTAGTGGGGCGGGCGCGGCGGCTGCTGTGCTTCCCGCCTTGGGGCGGGTGAGGCACCGGCGCGTTGTCAGAGCCCCCGTCCCTCTCTCCCGAGAGTGCCTCCCTCAGTCCTTCTACACGAGGCACCCGAGAGGTTGCGTTAAAGGTTTTGCCGGGCCCTGGCTGTTGTCGCCCTGCCTGCCTGGCGGTCGGACGTGCGTGGTTTAAGAGTCGAAAGGAGCTCATGTCACTTTCTTGCTCCTTTGAGCTCTGGGAGGCAGGCAAGGCGTGGTCACTGGCTGGGGTGCGCAGCAATGTTTGCTCAGCACTACCTACTAGATAACACCCCAAGTTCACTGACCTTTAAGTATAAGCTCACAACTGGTTTAGGGTGCTAGATTATGAACATCTTGGGTGCCTGGTGTTTTTGCATTTCACATCTTTGTAACTGGAGAGAGTGATGTTCCTCTAGGCGTTGGTATTGGGAATGAAGCTGTTGAACATCTTCGCTGGTGACGTGAATCGTGGGATCGATGCCCCCTCAGCAAGTTCCCCGACAGCACCGAGCTGTGTGGTGGGGGGCACGCTGAGGGCAGGGGTGGCATCCAGAGGGACCTGGGCAGGCTGGAGAGGGGGGCCCGGGCAAACCTCCTGGGGTTCAACAAGGCCAAGGGCAAGGTCCTGCCCGGGGGCCGGGGCAATCCCCAGCACAAACCCAGGCTGGGCCCTCGAGGGGCGGCTGGAGAGCAGCCCCGAGGAGAGGGGCTGGGGGTGCTGGGGGGGGGAAAACTGCCCGTGAGCCAGCCCCGTGCGCTGGCAGCCCAGAACCCACCCGTGCCCTGGGCTGCAGCCAGAGCAGGGGGGGCAGCAGGGCCAGGGGGGGGATTGTCCCCCTCTGCTCCGCTCTGGGGAGACCCCCCTGCAGTGCTGGGGCCAGCTCGGGGGCCCCCAACAGCAGAAGGACCCGGAGCTGCTCGAGTGGGGCCAGAGGAGGCCACGGAGATGCTGGGGGGGCTGGAGCAGCTCCCCTGGGGGGCCGGGCTGAGAGAGTTGGGGGGGTTCAGCCTGGAGAAGAGAAGGCTCCGGGGAGCCCTTCGAGCGGCCTCCCAGGGCTTAAAGGGGGGGCAGGAGAGGTGGGGGGGGACTCTGGATCAGGGAGATGGGGACAGGATGAGGGGTGATAGTTTTAAATTGAAAGAGGGGAGATTTAGATTACGTATAAGAAAATCTTTAATATGAGGGTGGTGAGACACTGAACGTGTAATTCATCCTTTGTTCATAAATTTGGCTTTCTTTTGGTGTTATTTTTCATCTACACAGAACTAGTTCTCTATACTTCTAAGGGCTTGATGGCTTTCTCTGCAGAATAGTTCAAAGTGATGCTTGCTGTGTAGTGTACATAGTTGAGATGCTAATATGTTGGAAGCATAAAGAAGGACGTGTTAGAAACAAATGTCTTTTTAAGTTATAAGGGTTGCTTAGACAGCCTTAGCCAAGAATTTATTATCTCAGTGTTGAACTACTATGTGTTCAATTATTATCAGTCACAGTCTAATCTTTCCATATCACTTGAGAGCACTGCATTGATCTCTTGCCCATTTCTGACCTTCTTTTCCATGGTAAAAACTGTACTCTGCAGGGCTCATGCTTGCACACTTTCTCCTCCACTAGCCTATGGAGTCTGTTCCCAGTGATCATGGTTTGGGCAGTTTTATTCCACACTGCTTTAATGCAGTTTTTACCAGCTGCCCAGATACCCCTTTAAGATCTCTTGGTTCATTAGTGTGTTTATAGCAAACAGCAGTTCATGCAAATAAAAAGATAAGCTTTTATCACATGGAAATAATCAGGTGTCCAGAGAAATGAGGGAGAATAAAAGGGAAATGGCTTTCTATATTACGGAGGGTGTTTGAATAAGAGACAAAAGTTGTTTCCCGTTTTTCCACCCAGGCCTCGACTGAGGTAGTAGGAGTTATTGCTCAGGAACTCAGAGCTTGCATCACTTTATATTTCTCACATCTATCAGCTATTTTCTGTCACTTCACTTCACCGCTTATTCTCTTTTTCCCTTCTTTGGCAGGTTACTCTATGGCTAAAGAAAATACATGGGAATGACCCTATTCCACCGTATGAAGTGAATAAAAGGACAGTTGGTATCTTGTATGAGCTTGCAGAATACAACGAAGGTCGAGACAGGGATGTTTCTATCCTGATAGAGGATATGAAGATGAGGGCAAGAGAATATCAAGCAAAAGGTGAGTTTGAAGCTCCAGTTCTCAGTTCCATCGAAGTTAGTTTTTCTTAGTGACCCTGAAGATTTTGTTAAAATCTTATATACACATAGAATAACTGGAGTGAACTAAGTGTTTGTTCTGGTGCAGCTTTTACTACAATGCGTCCCATGCCTTCCTTTTAGCAAAATTTACAGTGACATAAGGTTGGTCAAGACCAGTTCTTTAAGCTATCTTGATCAGACTGTAAATATGGACAAGCAGATTAATTGTTAAAACCTCCTAGCCTGCTGGGCTGAGTAGCACAGCATTGAACCACTGGCTGGATAGAGAGGGAAGCAACCGTACATCTGATTTAAGAGTCTGAGTGGTGCTAATCCACTGTTAAGGAAAGCACTTGAGGAATCTGAAACAACAGTGAGGTGATTAAATTGTGCTTGAGCAGTTTAGAGTGAGTGATATCGTTTTTTGGGAGCAAATGAGTGGTTCAGGGCACCATAATATGTATTTAACACACATGTTAAAAGAGTCCCACCTAGGCCTTAAAATAACAATAATATTTTAAAATTACGATTTTGGGTTGTATTTGTTTTCCAGTTAACCACCTATGGCACATTCTTGAAAAAGGCCTGAATATTTCCCCATTCAGTCTGTCCAGTAAAGGCACGAGGTACCTCAATGTCCTGGTAAACAGCGCAATGACACTTGAAACAAAGGACACTTCTCTTACCAGGTAATTCTTCCCACTGTGCATCAGGGGTGATGGTCTGTTCTGTTCCTCTCTATTTTTTCAATTCCGTGGTTTCAGACTTGACTTTCACACCAGGAATATTACTTAGCTATCTTCTTTTGCACCTCTTGGGCAGCTTTGGAGGACAGAGGAACTGAGCACAAAGCTCTAACTTGATTATCCCAGCAAAGGAAGTCTCTGAGGCCTAAGAAGTGTCTCAGACAGAGTTAAATCTATTTTTTTTTTTTTTTTTTTTTGCCGGTGCTTTTGAGGTCAGCAGTTTCAGGAGACTGCCACTCAGACTGTTGTGCCAGGTAGCTCAAGCCAGAGCAGGTTTCATACTGCTTAGGCAAGGACTGGGGAACTGTAACTGACCTTCCAGTCTCAGATCTTCATTATTGCCTCTCTTCTTTGGCCTCAGCAAACGTAAGGAGACTTCCTTAGCCACAGAGAAATGGCAGCTGTTAGTCTGATCATCCTGGGCCTTTCTCCCTAGCCTGGCTTTGATCCATAACACAGCAGGTTTGTACTGAGCACTGGCAGTAAGAAAGGGCCAAAAATCTGACTTGGAATCCAATTTTTATGTGTTCAGGAGCTTGGCTCTTACAGCTCTTCTCCTGAGCTGGTGGCACAAGCAGCTTTGAACCATTTGGGAAGAAATGTCATGGTTTAAACCCGTCTGATAGCATGACACCACATAAGCTGCTCACTCACCCTCCCCCACCCCAGCGAATCAGGGAGAGGATTGGAGGGAAAAGGGTAAGGACACTCATAGATTGAGATTAAAAAAATTTAATAATTTAAATAAAATAAGATGATAATAATAATAGAAAATACAAACAAGTAATGCACAATGTGATTGTTCATCACCTGCTGACTGATGCCCAGCCCATTTTCCCAGCTAGCGATTCCGGAGAAAAGAGAATCCTGAAACCACCATCCTAGAAGCCATAGTGAGTTTCTCAATCAATTTATATACTATGTATCTATACATCTATATACTGAGCATGATGCTATATAATGTGGAATATTCAGTTGGCCAATTTTGGTCCATTGCTCTGGCCGTGCTCCCTCCCAGCTTGTGTATCTGTGCACTAGCAAGACATGGGAAGTTGAGAAGTCCTTGATTTCTTAGCAACAGCTAAAAACATCACTACATTATCAACGTTTTTCTCATATCAAATCCCATACAGAATCCAAAACACAGCACTGTTCTAGCTACTAAGAAGGAAATAAAAAAAAAAAATTGCTAAATCCCAGCCAAAACCAGGACAAGAAGAGACTGAAATACTGCTGGGCATGTTTTGGGGATGTGCGTTTTCAGTTTCTCTGAAAGGCAATCTGGCAAGCCAGGAGTGGAGCATCTGATCATGTCAAACCCAGTGGCTATGTTCACTACAATGCCAGGTCTTGTTCACTGCCTCCTACTCAGATTGCTGGGCTGTTTCCCCCTCCAGATGAAATCTTTGTTAGTGAAGGGAAGCAAATACCCTTAATGACTTATTTTACTTTCCTCCTTTAAAATAGCTGGCAGTTATCTGATGTATCATAATATGAGAAAAAAAAAATGTCATTTGTGTAAAGTGTGGAGAAAATAATAATAATTCTGAATTTCAGAAGAGCTGACCCCTGAGCATTCTCGCTTAATCTCTCTTTTCACCAGCTTCTTCTGTGCCATAAATGATATGAATTTGGAGCTGTATGAAACAGAATTGAAAAACAGAAAAATGGAACTGAAATTGTCCCACATGAAATCCAAAATAGCTACAGCGCTAATGCTGGAAAAGCGATTAAAGGAGTAAGTAATGGATGAGAAAAGGGGAAGATGTAAGCAATACTGCTGCTGGTCTCTGCCATGTGGAACACTGATTGTGGCAACTAACAAGAATAACAACTTTCAGGGTTTTCTCTGATTCACAGTATTTGGAAGTATGTTTCAAAAGCTATGTGCTACAGACACATTCAGTAGTGAAAAGAGATTTGGGCTACCATCAATTCCATTATTTTAAACAAAAATTAATCTACAAGCAGTTTTCAGATATGGGCTAGCATGTTCCACCAGTTGCCTTTGTCTGAGCTTGAAGGCAAACCTGGTTTTCTTACCACACTTAGAATGGGCTCTGCAATCAGAGTAAAGGAGTCAGGCAAAACAAAAACTGTTCTCAGGTAAGAATTTCCTTTAACCAGTGTGTGAGAGACTTAAAAAAAAAAAAAGTTAAAAGAAAAACTGGTATCAAATCTGTTCTGTGGAGGGTGTAATCTGAGGTGCTTTTCCAAGCATAGCAGGATCCACCCCTGCTTTGAGTGGGGATTGGGCCAGATGATCTCCACAGCACCCTTCCAGTCTAAGTATTTTCTGCTTTTTGTCTTTTAAAGCAGTAATTGTGGCATTGCTTATACCAAAGATAACATACCAAACTTGTGTACTTTGTGCAGGTTTGCCATGGCCCCTCTCTGGGAACTTAGGTTTAGCTTGTGTAACAGGTCTCTAGCTGATTTAGGGAATTACGCAGAGGACTCTTTGCTTTTTTGCAGATGGATTTCCCCTTTGCCTTTTTTTCCTCTGGCCTTTGGGGCTCTGGATGTAGCAGTGGATGATTCCACTGGGAAATTTTACAGGGAGATGCAAGTTTTTATCCATTTTCTTCTTTCTCGTGTTGGTTGTATTACGGGGTTTAGCTTGAGGAGTTAAGGAGTATTTGTATAGTGGTATCTCTTTGAATGTAAAAGTTTGTTTCTTTCTGTATTTTTTTAAGGGATATTAAAAAAACAGAGGCATTTATGGAAAGAGAAAATGCCAAAACTGGCATCCAATCCCAGAAATTGAAGTTCCTGATAGAGAAATCTACAGATATCAAAAGAGGAATCAAGACTACTAAGGTAGATGGAAGGAATTTTCTAACAAAGTGATGTGACAGGATGGCACAGTCATGGTTGGTCAGGCCCAAAACTGTAGTTACAGAGACATCCCAGGAGCTTCCTAAACTCCAGGACTGAGGACCCCTGGCCTAACAGGACAACATGTTACTACACTTCAGTTGTTCTTGCTGTATTCATGGTCTCTCCCCAGGACATCCTATGATCAATGCAAGAACGCTTACACTGAGAACTGTATTAGCTCAGACTGCCTTGTACTTACTGTGAAGTGCTGTCATATAAGATTATACAGACGGCTACCAGTAGAGCAGCTGATTCACTGAGGTAAATTGTGTATCAAAATTCTGAATACAGCCATTTTTTTAAATGAAGGGATTATTAAACACAGAAGGCAGAAGTTGTACTATCTTCTTCACCTTTGCTACATGAGGAAGGACATGTGAATGCTTCATTTCACACTTTGATGCTGTCAAATACCTTGACAAATATGAGATGGAAAACGTTGTGTTAGAGTTGATGACATTTTACTGAGAAGCCTCTTCCCAGCCTTGCATGTGGTTTTCTCCCAGTAGTTTTCTGGAAAGACTTGTTATTATTGATATAAATTTTAGTATCAACTGATTCCATATACCAGCTATACCTGTGGTTCAAATAGCACATGTTTCTGTTGACAAACTGCATTCTTGTTTGTCTGTTTGGATCCAAACCCAAAGAAATATTAAATCTTTCTCCTCCCTGTTACATTTTGTGGTCAGTTATGAATTAACCCTTTCCTGTTTGTAGGAGCAGCTTATTGCCACGGGGTTGGACAATTCACTGACACATACGTCACTTTTGAGCCTGTCTGAGGTGGGTCTTTTGGTACAAGATGGATGTTTTTACAGTGCTACAGACCGGGCTTGTTCGTTGGGTGGTTTCAGGAAATGTAGTTTGCTGTTTGGTTACCTGGACAAATATTAATGGTAAAAAGAAACACAAATAAAAATCCTGTAAATAAATACCTCTGAACTGAGGTATGTTGGATGGGTTTGTCTCTCCTAGAAACTGAGAAGCATCTATGGGTGCTGAAGTGGTACCTTTTCTTCAGGGTTAGATGTGGGCTTATTTTGGAATTGCGAAGAAGCTTTCCTTCTAGACTGATTGAGAGGAACAATTGGAAACCTTATTTTTGTTGCCTTTTGTTTTTCACTCTCTTCTATTTCTGCCTCTGTAATTGGGAATATAGCCTAGAGATTTTTCATGGAGTAAATTCCCTGGCACAGAAGGAATACTGGCAGCCCGTGATCTGCCTCCTCTCTGTGATCCATGTTAGAAACAGCATGGATATTCTGTGGACTGTATCCTGTTATGTGGCTACCTGTGTATTGCAATTACTTGTTATAATGTCCCAGGTGATTCTTTCTAGTTTGTGTGAAATACACCTGCTTTCAGACACTCCAGAGCAAGGGTAGAAGGCCAAGTGAAACCCAAATTCTGAATAACTGTGTGCTTTTTTTTCTTGTGTCTTTAACGTTTTTCAGGTGTATTGTAAGCCCAGAGGGATAATTTGTTAAAGGAAAAATCACATTTCTTGAGTTAATAGCTATAGATTCTCCACCTCTGTGCTGAAGCATTTGTATACATATAACATGTGTTTGTGTTGTTCTGTTTGCACTCACCACGCTTTAATATAATTTGTTATTACTTTAGTGAAAACTTAATCTTTCTCCCCATTTCTTTTGCTAGCTTTTTCTACATGTTAAGTTGAACAGTGAAAATAGATTTCCTAATTTTTATGTTGTCGTTCTCATGAACCAGCACTGGGTGGCAATGTTTACATTACACAGTGTTTCGAAAGGGTACTAACCAAAAATAATTTCTGCTGAAATTTTACATACAAAAAGTCATAGACAGTTTTCTAGACGTGTCATCTTCTAGAGCCTGGGCGTAAGGCCAGGTTTGACTCCCTGACATTTCTGTGTCTGCTTTGCCAGGAGTTCAGTGTATTGAGCAGCACAAATTACTTAATTCAGAGTACATTTTTTTTTTTTACTTCAAAAGAATTGAGGACTGTGGAAGGTCCTCAATTTTCAGCCCCAGAGAGAAATTATTTCCCCTTGTTAACAGAATAAATAAAGCCATGGAAGTGAAAGGGAGGTCTTTTTGCTGCTGCGTCCGCAGAACTGTTTTCACTTAGAAGCCATAGGCATGAGAATGTGTCCCCTTCCTTGGGGCTCAGTTCTCCAGCCCACAGCAAGGTTGACAGTGGCAGTCCTTTGGTGGATTCTCATTTTAAATCCCCTCTCCTTTCAGGGAGGTAAAATGAAAAGATACCTAAATATGTCTTCAGTGCAAATTAAAATTAATTGATACCTCTGTGTAAAATTTGAACTGGTTTTGACTGACTGATAACTCAATGAATAGCAGATCTTTAGTTTTCCATGGGTTTTAAGAAAGGTCATGAAAGCAGTCAGCAACATCTGTGAATTCTGAAATGCTATAGGTAATTGTGGATCTATTTCACTGATTAACATCACTTCTACAAGTAAGACTATAAAATATAATTTGCCTTGTTCTCTTCACAGAATCTCGGAGAACTGCAGAAGGAACTTGCGCCTTTGAAGCATAAACTGAAGTCCTACCTAGATTTAACTCCTGTAATTATTTTTTCTACTGTTCTATTGTATTTGCTGACAGATTAATTTTAATGGACTTCAGAATGTGAAGGATATTGTTGTGATGGTTTTGTTGGACAGGTAGATGTCCTACAGGTCTGTTAGCAGTGTGAACAGAAGACTTTACTTAAACAGAAGGCTATCTGTTAATCAAATGCAAGAAATTAAGTATGCTTACCAGGCAAACATTTTTCTAACAGTGCACAAATTTGCTGTATGAACTCAGTATCAAGGTGAATTAGCTAGAAATTAGACAAAGAACTGTGGAAGAAAATATAATTTCTTAATATAACAATTTTTTTGAGATTTCAGTATATTAGCTATACCTGTCATCAGGCTATCAATGTGGTGGACACAGCACATTGTGCAGAAGTTGGGGCTCTGAGCAAGATTTTAATGATTATGAAAAAATAGCCAAATGTAGGTGTTGTCCCCTAAACAAGTACTCTGGCTTGTGTGAGTATTAGAGTATTAGCTGCTCCATCATTTTATTTGATTTCTCTTGAAGGTGCTGGGTACTTAGCTCTCTGAAAACACAGGCTTCTCATTTAGGTGACTAAATTGCAGTTTTGAAAGCCGCTGTCTGTGTATCTTTTCTTCACTTTATATTTTGGCGACTGTCACTATTGGTCCCTGTGCTAGGAGTTAACTATCAGACTGCTGTGGGAAGCAACTTTTTTATAAAAATCGTTTTACTCTCTTCTAATTTGAACACATGTTACAAAAGACTGTTTCAGTTTTGGGTAATTTTGTGAACGACTTTATAGTGGCTTAAAGAAATCGTGGATATACAAGGCTTTAGTCCATGAAACAGAAAGCCTTGTCTTTGTGTGATGTCTGTTCACTTCCACCTGTGATAATTGGAACTGCTAAACCCAAGTATTTCCAATTTCCTTTGGAAGATTGCAATTGCTTTTACAGGTAAGTATTAAAGACTTTTATGTCACTCAGGGAATAAATGGCAAAAGCTGGAGTGTGAATAATTGAATGGGTTTTAGTTTTATTAAACAGTGCTGTAACTGTCTAGTTTACAGTTTTGTAGTTGAGTTGCTTGATATGGCCCCTGTTACCTCATCTGAGCACCCCACAGCCTTTAATAGAGCTAGCCTCAGACATTTCTCTGTAACAGGTGAAAAGGATTTATTCCAATTGTTATAAATGGGGCATAGAGGTTCAGAGAAAGGAAGGATCTTGTCCAAAATCACATAAACACTCTGTAATTAATCATGTCTCTCATATTATGAACTAGGGACCTGTCTGCTGGGCCACACTTACCTCTACCTCTTTAGCCCTTCCATTGAGTTCCTGCCTCCTCCTGCTATCTCCCTCCTAGAAGTAAAGGATGAAGGGAGAGGTGTGGGGCTGTTTCTGTTTTAAGTCCGTCACATTCCAAAAGGCAGCTGCCTCCTTTCCTCAAGCAAAACAGGACATTTTGATTGGATTAGGTTCTCCCAATTCCACCTTCGCCTCATCTTGCTGTCAGTAGAGACGGGGAGAGCCCTGGTGCCTCACTTCTGGTGCAGGCAGAAGGAGGGAGAAAGGTTTATCCTTGCAAGCCTATTGTGCTTTGGAAAATTCATGCATGGATATGTTTGAAATCCAGTTCCTTGATCGGTAGGTTTGGAAAAGTGCCAAAACTGATAGGTTTTTTAGACTTTAGGCCATACCAGACTTTTGAAAAATATGTGATTGCTCAAACCAAAATGATACTAGGCTTTTAATGCCAGTACCTTTTGCATGTAAATGGTGTACACAAAACTGATTTAATTATCCCTGAATTCCCCTGTGGCACATCATTAGACTTGCAGTGATGCAGGGACTCTGTGTTTCCAGCTGAAATACTGATTTTTATGCCATTTTCTCTCACTAGAATCCTTCCCTTGCACGAGTGAAGATTGAAGAATTAAAACGGGAATTGGTAAGAGTTGTTTTGTCTTTCACAGATATTTAAATGAGTGCTGTCATTCCAAAACAAGCTATATATATTAATTGGTTGTGGATTTATCTATTTTAGATTATAGTCTTAATGATCTCTAGTGGGAAATTTTGCTCTGGTAAGACAGAAGCCGTGTATTTTGGTAGGAGGAACTGATGGAGGAATATATAAGCTACAGAGGCAGTTAGGAATAATGATATCAGTGGGGATTAGGTGTCTGTATCCCTTTGGACTTTGTCTGCTTCACCTGTCAGATTATTTATTCACTCAGCTGTGTTGCATCTTATTGGTCTTGCAAACTTTCTTACTGCTTCGCCTGTCAGATTATTTATTCACTCAGCTGTGTTGCATCTTATTGGTCTTGCAACCTTTCTTACTGCTTCTGAACACTGAGGGCTCTCAGGCCCATATTTTATTTAACAGCTGCCTTGAAGACTGCAATGGGGACCTTCCCCTATAAATATAATGCCCATTTCATCCATGTTTGTGTAATCTGCAGGTATAGTTGTTGGGAAATATCCCTATGAAGCTGTTTGGGAAGTTCATATGTAGCTTTCCTCAGTGAGTTGGACCATGTTTGAGCATAAAACCTGTGTTTATTTCTCTGGGCTACTGTCTGCTTCCTCACAGACAAAACACAAGGTAGTCAATGGTAAGCCTTAGAACTGTGATCAAAGAATCACAGCTATTTGAGAGTATTGAGGCTTTTACCAGGTCAGAATACTCACCTCTGGAGAGTACCTGTTAAGCTTGAAGGTGTCTAATATCACATTGGGACACAGTATAAAGGCAACTTAGCTTGTTTAGCCCTTCATTTGGAAATTTCTCTGAAGTTGTATACAGATAGTAGACAACACAGAGAACTCTGAAGTTTGTCTACAGAGAGTAGAGACACTACTAGAGAGCGTTGTTTGCAGTAGTGAGACCTTCCAATTCAATATTTGGATTAATCAGTGCTAATAATATCCCAAGGTTAGATCATCATAGATATGTTTGTCTAACAGGAGCGGAAGAAAACTGTTTCATGGTCACTGATTCCTCTTGCTTTTCTCTCCTGCTAGAATGTCGTGGAGGCAGAGTTCTCAAAGGAGGTTGATCAGCTGGTTCTTGAGATGATGAAGCCCTGTAAACCCTGGTCCACCTGAAGTGACCTGCATGGAAGAAGATTTCCCTTCTATTTTCTGTTTATTTGCACTACTAAAACATTTTGGAATTTTTGTTGTAATTCTGGAGCTTTCTGCCTTACTCTTCTTGTTGTTGGATGGTACACTTGTGACCTTTCAGCAAGCATGCCCTTTTTAAGGGGTTCATGTAGTCTTGTATTTGTAAACATCACCTATTTTTCATAAAATAACCCCCAAGCGTACTGGTTTCTGTATCAGTTCTTTTTCCTTATGTGATACACACCTGTAACTGGCCTTCCAAGGCACCTTTACCAGGAGATGTCCCTGTCAGGATTTGGTTGACCATTACCACATAGAATTAAACTGATCAGGGAGTCTGGTTTTCTTCTTTTTCTCTGTCCAGGCTCTGGATTGTGCTTTTTCCTGGAGTGTCCTCTTAGCGGGACAAGTATGGTGATGACAGATTCTCTTTACATCTACTAGATCTTTTTGGTTTTGCTCCCGTGTTTTGTTTTCTCTTGTCATTTCAGGGTTGGGGACACATAGGTTTTTTTCCACTCATAGTATGTCTGATGTTTACCAAATTTGTGAAAATGAGTTCTAGACTCATTCCTGGAGTGCTGCTTTAGTTTGAGCATTTTCTTTAAACAGAAGTGACCAGTTTTCCTTAGTGTCTTCAGCAGGGATTTGATATGTTAATCGAAGTGAAGGATACGGAAATTGTGATCTATGACCTAGAATAGTAGTCCCCGTTGCCTTCTAAAGCCCTGCAGCACCTGAGACAAAAAAAATCCCACAAACGAGATTTTTTTGCATGTGTGATGGCTGTCAACCTTCATGGAAACGGGCTGAACCCTGACTTGTTTCATGTGGGTCATAGTATTGGCTTCACAGATCAGCAAACTGTACTGCTCACACAGGTAGATGCTGAGATGAGATGTAGCAGCATCAACCTCCCGAGGTTCTGTAGCTTGTTGTCAGCTGAGAATATGGAAACCCATGGCATGAACCTGTAAGGCTTGCCCATGTTCAAGGCTTTGAGAGATACCAGTCTGCTGTTGACTACTTGTTGTTTCTCCTTAAATTATAATGAGAGCTAAGCGAATTACAGATAAATAGCTTTATGGATAGTGAAGCAATAGCTTTAAAAAGGGCTTTATAGTAAGACCTTTCTAGGTCTGAAAAATGAGTATTTTAGCAGAACTGCTGTGGGTTGTGACCATCTTGAAGCTAGATTGTCCTTTCCAATCCTACCTTAAATGTCATCTTCCAAAGTGGTCCCCAGAGCCCTCCTCTTATTTCTATGCCAGCAGCACAGCAGCCTTAAACTCCTCAGCTTTTAAAAGTTGTTTTGTACTAAAGCCAAAAATCTGAAAATCTCCTGTGGATGGGGAAAAATCAAAATCTAGAAATAGTGGCAGCACCTAAGGACATCAGGCGTGGACTAAGGGCCTGTTTGTACTGGGCAACGTCCAGACAAGTAGCAGTGGTGCTCTCGGTGACAATTTATAGATATATCTGTTTGCAATTAAAGTTGCAAAAGATTATGGTAATGATTTACCATGGTGTGCCTGTCCCCAGGAGCTGTTATTTCACTACAGAAATTGATTTCACTGACCTGCAGGAAAAGAGATGCTATTGCTTCATGTCCTCCCTTGAAGCAATAGGATCATGGGATCTGTTTCCGATCGTGCCTAGGGTGTAGCTCTGATTTCTAAGAAGCCACAAGCTCAGAATGACACTAGTGTTTTTAAAGTGCCACAGACTCCTCACCTCGTGATCTTTTTCACCTAATTTCTTCCACTGTGATGGGGGAGAATTGAAGGATGTTTGGAGAGACACTGCTCATGGGAATCTTCGGCCTCATCTTCCATACACCAGAGGGAGTCGCTGTTTAGTTTCAGGTTTTAAATCAAGATGTTAGGAAAGGGTGAGTTGTCTTAGTTTTGTGGCTATTTATCTTCAATTCCTTCTCGGCTAGAAATCAAGATGGAAAAAGCAAGTGGACAAGCATCTCCTGTATGTGTGGGATAAACTGACAAAGGGGAAATTTCACATCAGTTGCCTCTGAGGTAATCTAGAGCAGGCACAGTAGTGCAGGGGTGACTACAGGTACAGCTGCTGCTTACCAAGAACACACCAGAAGAAAGCAAGAGAGTAAGTCTTTGAATCTGGAAAGAGCAAGAGCATAATCCGATCTTTCCTGTTGTGAAAGGAGAAGGAAGGCATCAAAACATAGCTGGCTAGACATTGGAGAATGATCTAACAAGAAAGCCAGTGTGAGGCACGTGACAATTAAGCAATCTTAAGTGCTGGCGGCTTTGAAGAACAGATCACAAATGCTTTGCTTAAGTGTATATAATGCGAGGGAGTGTCCATCATGCCTTGGTATAGAAAGATAAATTTGATGAGGGCTCGAGGATGCTACCAGCCCTGCTTTTCAGTGAGAGCCTCAAGACTTGAACAGCTAACCTTAGAGGGGCGCTTTTTACCACGCACGCGTAACCATGACTCAAAGCCTGGGAGGATTTCCTGGGAATCTGGCACTCCCTTCGCACCACTTCATCACAGAACACTGCACCAGTCGTGAAACCCAGGGGCTGTTCTTCCCCCTGCGCCCCCAGGGCAGCTGCACTGCTCCCCGGCTGCTGCTGTTGCGCCGCATGTGCCGTCCCCCATTCATCGGCGGAGAGCCCCAGTGTAGGCACCAGCAGGGCCAGACTGGCCCAAGGCGTGTTCCTTCCCAGCACTGGAAACCCCAGGAGCAAAAATTACCCGGCAGCTGCCTACGTGCCACAGCTGAGCCATCTGCAGCACGTGCAGCCTAGATCAGCGGCCAGCTGTCAGGCCCGACGGCTCAGCTTTGGGTGGAAAGGGAGAAAGTCAAAACAAACGAGATGTTCGCAGCCAGCGTGGACCGTCGGCAGGATCTCTCAGCTCTTCAGCTACGCGTCGGCACGGGCAGGGCGAGTTCCTCGCTGCTGGCGTTTTTGGGGCGGTCCAGCTTTCCCTTTCGGGGATGGGAGGCCGGTGGGGGAAGGCCTCGCGGAGGTCCCGCTGAGGCGGGAGCGTGCCAGCCTGAGCGTGGGGCTGGGAAAAGGTCCCTCGCCCTCTTCCCTGGCAGCCGCGGCATGCTCCCACCGAGGTCTCAGCGGGTGGTGAGGGGCTGTGGCAGCCTGGAGGGAGGCCAGCTGGACTCCTCGTATATTATGAAATAATCGCCCAGCTGAGAATGAGGAGAATGCCTGGAGAGGCCTCCCCGCCCCCCCCCCCCCGGCCCCCGCTGCTTCAGCCCCACTTCGGATTATATCAGCTGCTCCGTTCTGAACTCCCAGCCTGGTTTTTGGAGACACCCATCGAGTAACACCTGCAAGCCGAGAGCAGTTCTGCTCACCGGGAGCTTTGCATGGGGATCCCACGGCAGGGCCCAGCTGAGCTGCCGACCCCTCAGTTTTACAGAGTGCGAAAGATGTGCACGCTTCTATCACCGTGCGCTCAATTCCTCCTGCAGGAAAATGTGAGGGCCCAAATTCCACCTGAAAAAAAAAAAAAAAAAAAAAAAAAAATTATGCACCAGTTGTTAGAAACAGTGGTCAACATCCAGTGTAAATGTATGTAAGTTTTACCACAAAGTGATATCCTGTTCTTATGAGGCCAATATGCAAAATAATAATTGCTTTAGAAAAAAAAAATGAGAATTAATTCCCAAATTACCTAGGGGATAGGGATTTATTTAAAAGAAAACATGTAGGTACTAAAACCAGAATAATAAAATGCTAGAGAAATGCAAAATACATGAGTCAAATTTAAGGCTACTGAGCTGAAATATGTATTTACTCAAAATATGTTGAATCAGAAGATGTGGATGAACCTCTTTTGGCTGTATATTTTGGCTGGTACTGTTCAAATAACTGTTTGTTGCAAACATTTCATTGTGGTTGCCTTTCAATCTTTGAAAGTATTCAAAGTTTGTTTTCATTCATATAAATCCTTTAGTAGATACAGAATATTAATATGGGACTTTGTCATTAAATAAATTCTTAAAAAATATTAAAATAGTTTCAGGATTTATTTTAAAAGTAAGCTGGTTGCATTTTGTATCACCTCATGTAAAACAGATATTCTTTTGATACTCAGTTCTGGTTTGGGTACGTATAAGCAAAAAATATGGTGTGTCAAATTGTAAGCACACTTAAGATTTTTTTTTTAATTATAACTAGTACTGAATAGGCCTTGTCTTACGTGTTTGGGAAAGGCTTTGTATTTCTGAGGTATTCTTTGAATTTTTAAATTAGAGGGTCAGAAGTGAAACAATAGTAATCCTGGTCTGTGTGGCCTTGTGTGCTGCAGTAAATCAATTTGTATCCAAGTTTGAAGTTACTGTTAGTAACCTCCAGCAGCTTTATAAATGTTTTGTGTTTTCTTACACGCTCACTTCATTAAAAAAAAAAATCAGTACCATGCTGGATGTATTTCTGCTTCTCCAATTCAGAAATATTTCTTCTGCAAAAAAACCCGAAGCGAGTAAGCAGAGACTTTACCAATAAGCATGTGTTTAAAGTAAAACTTGCAGCCCCTACTCTCTTCACTGGGTACCACCTACGTGGGAGAATACAGCGCTGCCTCCATCTGCCTGGAAGCCATTCAGCATTACACCATCCTTCATGAACCATGTTAAAAAAAAAAAAAAAACAAACAACAACTCCAACACTGCAACCTAATCTAATAAATGCTTTCTTTAGCCCCTTGCTCCGGATGCCTTTAATGCCAATTAAGCAGCACAGCACAGCTGCTTAATTAGCCAATATTGGCTGGTAAAACCCAGCACCAAGGAAAGGATTTCTCTCTCCAGGAGCTGTGGGGGTGGGTGAACCCCTCGGTGTCCTGGGCACCTTTCCCGTGGTCCCCGTCCGGCCGCCGCTGGAGGCTGCAGAGGCGCCTGGGTGACTGCGAAGGAGCGGGAGCGAGGGGAGGGGAGGGCTTGGCCGGGTTTCAGTGGCACATTTGGGATTTCAGATGCTTGGCAGCCTGCAGCCCAGCCTGGAACATGGGCGTTGTTTAAATGTTACTCGGAAGGTGAAGTTTCTATATATTCCTTTCTGCAGAGGATGCTTAGTAATGTGCCTACGGATGCTGCTGTCGGGTGCATGGGCATGGGCCCTTGAAAAGTCACTCTCCCAGTCTGGAGGGAAACTTTAGGCCTAGGGCTGAGACGGGAGCTGGGGCAGGGGAGCTCCGCTCCCCCCCGCCCCGCCAAGAGCTGGGTGAGGGAAGCCAGCCTGGAAGCTCTTGCCAAAGTCCTCTCACAACCAGCTTTTACTTTGACAGAGGACGGTGGCTCGGGGTCGCTCCTGCTTCTGCCCCAGCGCTAATTTCCTCCCATTGTCTTCGGGGAAGCGGAGGGGCGGTGGCGGTGCCCTGGGAGCTCAGGCGCCGGGTCCCTCCGCAGCTGGAGGAGCCTCTGACGCTCCCTTCCCCGGTGATCCTCCCCAGAGATGTCCCGCCCCGGCTCCCACTCCTCAACCACGTCTCTTCATGCTCTTCTCACTTCCCTGTGGAAGTAACTAATGCTGAAATCATTTCACTCTTGGCAGAGGCGTTCGAAGAATGATAAAACAGAGCCAAAGGAGCCTAGAAGAGGCGCTGGGGCTGTACTCCCTAAATTCCGAGAGCCAGCACCACCTCTTGCCTCTCCTCCCCCCTTCCTAATCTTTCAGCCCATCTCCCCAACAATTCAGAAGGAGTCCCCTGGTATTTCTCCTAATCTGACATGTAAAATCTCAGGCAATAAACCTTTCACCACTTCCCTTAGGGAGACAATTTTCCAGCCCACAGTTCTCCATCCAAAATCTTTCCACCCTGATTCTCAGCTTAAAATTGTCCTTCCTTAATTTCACTCCATTAAAATCATGAACGTATCACCAGTCTTCTCCCTTCGTGCCACTTCATTCAAATATTTACAGATCACTAACGTCTCCCTGCTTAGTTTACTAATTCGGTTGTACCTATGACAGTCAGAATTTCTTATTTTTCTTTCATAATGCCTCCAGCCTGCCAACTGCTTCAGTCGTGGCTCTTTGAGCTCCTTTCCATCTACCACCCTTCTTGCAAATCCAAGGCAGATGCTCACCGCCCTCGCCTGTGTCATTATGCTTTTCTGTACACCATCCAGAACTGCATTGCCTGTTCCTCGCTGCCGTGTCCCAACGCCTGTGCAACAGCATGCCGTCCTCCGGGTGTCTTTCAGGAGTCGTGCCTCCAAAGCACATCCTTCCCTGTAAATACAGATTCTGGATTATTTTCCCAGATGTAGCCAGCCGGGTTGTGGAGGTTGATTTTACTTGATGGCAGGGCACGGCTAGAGCCCTGTGGGAAATGAGAGCGGATCGGATTAGAGCCCCAGCAGCCCCACGCAGGGCAGGTTTTGTCTTAAGTCTGGATTTCGTTAGCACTCTGCTTGTTCCATCTTACGTTGACACCGCCAATATTGGACGCACCAGTGAGGCTGGTGCTCTTGCAGAGGAAGTCTTTTGCATGTTTGGTGAGAAATATCCTGCAAAGTACCGTTTTAAAAGTACGCAGCTCTACTTCTACCTGAATCTCTCTTATTCGTGTTTCTCCTCACTGTCATAAATTCTTCTGAGGTAGTCTGTGATGTCTTTGTTTCCCCCAAGTCCACGTGTGTGATTTGGGTGGGGGTAGGTGCATACGGCTGTTTCTATACTATCAACCCTACCACTGATTCCGTGCCACGAGCAGCGGCTGCGGAGGAGCGGGATCCTCCACCTTTCACGCCCGCATTTCCCGGGCGTCTGCGGGCCGTGATCAAGATTTAGGGGCAACACCAAAGTGATTGCCGCCGCAGGTTTCCAAATCGCAGAGCGGGACCTGCAGTGGGTTGTGCAGCCACGCAGCACACACACCCCGGGGCTGCACAGCTAAATACTGCGATTAAGAAACACCGGGACGGTGTTCCTCGCATGCCTTATACCGTCGCCCTAATTGCACCCCACGCTTCCTCCCCACCCAGCCCCCAGGTCTCTGATCTCCAGGATGGCAGCAGCGGGGTCACCGCCAACCAGTTCGAAGGCAGAAGCAGCGCTGGCGGCGCTGGTCCTGCTGCCTCCGCCCGCATCTCTCCCACGCGTGCTCCCCGCTCACTGCCGGGCCCCTGCGCGGGGCGGGGTGGGAGGAAGATGTTTCTTTTTCCTTATTTTCCCGGTTACCAAACCAAAGCGTCGCGCCGGTAGCCCGCGGGCAGGTCTCGGCTCGCACGCAGCTTTCCCCCCGTGGCGGGAGGCCCACGGCGCCCGCTGGCACGAACAGCTCGGGCCTCCCTCCCGCCTCCATGGGCAGCGGCCGCTTCGGCAGCCCGTGGCGGGAGCGTGTGTGTGTGGGTGGGGGTGTGTCTCCCGTGGGTGCCGGGGTGCCCGTGGGTGGGTCGGGTAGGCGGAGCTTGCCGCCCTGCGCCGCTAGGTGGCGCTGCCGGGCGGGGCGGGCGCTCTGCGCCACGCTCGGCTGCTCCGGCGGCGGGAGGAAGTGACGTCGCGCAGCAGGAGCTCCCGCGGCCTCCGGTGACATTTTCAGGTGGCGGCGGCGTGAGGGAGGGAAGGGGGCGGAGGGGGTGGGGGGTGGGTGGCGGGTGAAACTCAACGACCGGGACCCGACCCCTCCCGCCGCCCATGCCCCGGTTGCAGCCCCCCTGCGGGGAGCCCAGGAGGGGCCCTGCGACGTCCAGGTGAGGGGGCCCGCCTCGCCGCAGCCGGGCGGGCGGTGGAGCCGTTGCAGCCGTTGCTGGGTGGGGGGTGGGGGGTACCGGCCGTGTGTCGTGTCCGTCTGTCTGGCAGCCCCCCGGGGAGGGAGGTGGGGGTGGTGCCGCCGGGGAAGGGCACCCCCCGCCTTGGCCCCGAGGGGTTTTGAGCGAAACGCGGTGGGAGCGGGTGGGCGCCGGCCGCCCCGGTGAGCGGTGACCTCCATCGCCGTGCTTGGGACGTACCTGCACGCCGCTTTTTGCGTGGGTTTTGTGTTTTTCGGGGGGGTTGTGTTTTTGTTTTTGTTTTTTTCTTTTTTTTTTTTTTTTTTGGGAGGGGGGGTCCTCACTTTGCCCGGACCCAGCGGACGAAAAGCCTTGCCGCAGCTCCTGGAAGCAACTTCTGGTGACCGCTTGGTGTTTTCCAGGACTTGTGGAATGTGTTGTGGGGTCGTAGGAGCCGCTTGGAGAACAACCTTTTGAAAATCAAGGCGTGTAATTGCCCGAGCTTTACGCTTCCCCGGTTTGCTCCTTTGTTTACCTTTGGATGATGTGGGAATACGTATTTTATGTGGGGGAAAAAAGTTCGAGTTGCTCGTTGCTTACCTAGCTTGAGTTCCACTCGAGCTCCCAGCATCTAATGGGTTGCAGATGTGGCTTTCAGTGACGCAGCCATCTGAGGAGAATATAAATTTTAACTGTGCTACTTGTTGTTTTTAAAAAGGAAAAGAGGCAGTCTGAGCAGACTTGTAATATTTTAACTATTTCCCCAGTTCCAGTACTGTAACTTCCTTTACATTGAGGTTATCGGACAACTACTTAAAAGGCCACTTTTTGTGAGACTTGGGGATTCGAGGTTTTTTTTTAGGTTTACATTTTCTAGCTGTCAGGGAGGGCTTCCATCTTCGTTAAGTAGCATCTAATTGTATTTATGTTTTAGTTTGTTAATAGTGGAACAACACTACTTGTATTAAAAATAGTGGAACAACACTACTTGTATTAAAGTTTGTAGGTAACTTTATAGAACCATAACTACAATAACTTAGTTAAACAAGGTCTTGGTTGTAACTGGTAATACACTTTAAACAAGCACAAAGTACCTAATGGCATTTCAAAGGCTAAAAATCCTCTGTATGTAGAAATGCGGTGGCATAAGTCAGTCCTGTTTGCTATTGGGGTTCTTTCATTGGTAAATGATTCTAGCTTTTAAAAATCAATGAGCAGTAAGACTTTGAACCCTTGAGCATCTCTTAAAAAAATGTAAAAAATCTCTTACTCTGCTCTTCCGCCCCCCCCCCCCCCCCAAGATTTTGTTTGATTTCAAGTTTTCTCTGGTACTTGTCAAGCATAAGAGCAAGTAATAGTTACACTTATAGGCAAGTGCTAGCCTATTTCTAGTTTTCAAGCTAAAATTTTAAGCACAAACAGTAATAGCTATCCCCCTAAACCAGTAAGCTAATATTAAATTTAAAATGTTTCTCTTAAAGTATGTTGCATTGCTTAAGTCTATTAAAAAACTTAATGTTTGACCTTGAGGTGGAAACTGGGTATGTTGCTCTTTTGAGGTCTTCATCTTGTGGTTCTCCTGCCCTAGTTAACACCTGTAATTGCTGTTTCTGTGATATAAGAGCTGACAGTCAGGCAGTCACAACAGCACAGCTTCCCATGTTGCCCTGGAGGAGGGAAACATTGCCTTTGCAAAGCGAATAGGTTTGTAACAAGCTCTAAGGAGAACAGTACCTTGCTTGTCATGTATTTGCTAAACCCAAACATCCCCCCCTATGTATGTGTACGACACAAAAGCAGTGAGTTGAAGAACTCTGCTGTCCAACAGTTATTTTTAAGCATCATTTTCTGAGTATTTCTTGCATCTAGTGATCTAGAGCAATCTGGTTCTGGCAGAAGCAGTTCCATAGAGGGGTGGTTGTGTGGCTACTAAAAGCTAATAAAATACGGCGCTCTGTGGTTCTGGTATACCAGTAACACTGGTGTTTTGTCTGTGGGATTAGAAGGAGAGACAGTGGGGGTGATGGAAGGTAGTACGTGAGTTTGGGCAGCTGGTATTTATGCTCAAGTATGAGGATAACAGTTCTGACTCATTTTTAAACACTTGAATTTTTAATTATAATGTGTCGACTATTTCTGTTTGCTCTTCAGCCTAATTGCTAGTTGGCATCATGAAGAGGTGCAATGAGAAATTCCTGAGAAATCAGGAAGAGGAAAGGACTGTGGTCTTACACATTCAAGCGTACGATGTGAATTGCAGTTAGCCTGGCCTTCTATGCTTGTGCTCGATAAGTGCATGAAGGCTGCCTGATTGATAGAAGTTAAAGTGCATAAACAAGTTGGGAAATGAGTGGATACATCAAACTGGGTACTGCGGAGGGAAGGGAAAAGGGAAGGAACCTGAAGCCAACCACAAGGCAGTTGAGAGTGGTCACAGCACACACAAACCAAGCACTGCTCTAACTGATAGAAGAGAGGTAGGAAGGATGTTTGTGTGCGTTTGACAAATGGGCAGATCATGCTGTCAGCTGGCAGTGTGGAGGAGGTGAGGATTAATGGAGTAGGATAAGGTTGAACGAACAAAGAGTGAATACAGGGAATTATGAGGGGCTTTGAACACTAGGTGTTAGCAAGATAAATTGGTATAACTTGATCAGAGCAACAAGAAATAATTGCCTTGGTTGTCCTGACCCCCCCCCCGACCTCCTTGTGGTGCATTTACCTTTAAAGTGCAGGCTACTTTGCCATGCCTTGATTTTGTTCACTTTCATTGCTATCTCTTGTATATTACCACACCAACTCCCTGCTCTACAAAGGATGTTTGCCCCTCTGTGACCCGCCTGTGTATCAACATCTCACTTAAACATCTGGTAATGAGATGGGAGTCTCTATGTACCACACTGTGAAAGCGTCTGCAGACTAAGCATTTGCAATTGTCTGGTTACTCTCCGACCAAAATGTCACCACTAGATATGTTACAGCTTTGGAAACTTTTCCAATGAGTAAATAGTTTCAAGCAACCTGTATTTAATTTCCTATAGCACTTCCAAGTTAGTGTGTTGATGGTACTTTTTGACAGAATTGGGTCTATGGTCAATCTCAGCTTCTGTGTTTTTATCTGCAGTTGACTAAATTACTTAGAAAACTGTAAACATTGACAGAAACTGAGCAGCAGATTTAATAACACATTTACTAGATCAGAGTGGAAGATTTAAATACCGTAGTTGCAAGTATATAACTCGTGCATCAGAACAAGCACTCTGAAAAAGAGCTACCAAAACTTGAAAATCTTTTCTGGCTTGAACATTATCAGTAGCAATGGGGAACCAAAAAATGAAGCAGCAGTGGGAGAAGGCAACAGGCATAGTGCTGGGAAAGAGCTCCGGAATAGAGTTGTCTGGTACAGTACGTGTCACTGCACAGTTACAGCTCCGAGATAACTTGAGGCTTATGTGGCAAGGAAACCACTTTTGTCTTTGTTTTCCAGTACGTGAACTGAAGTTCAGCAGAGAACTGACACTCAGGCCTTTAACTTTAGCACTGTAACTCCGGAGCAGCTGAATTGTTACGACCGCAGAATCTGTGGCCGCAAGTATTATTGCAGGGAACTTGGTATGATTGTCGTGGTGATTTGTATTGTCTTTCTGTCGCATCTCTGTTCCAGGTTTTTAATGCATGATGGAGGTCTGGGTCTGTGACTTGAGGTCTAGAATGCAACATCTACAAATGTGCAATTCTGAGCAAAAAGAAAACTGGATGAAAGAGACTGTACATTAAAATGTGCAGTTAGTGTAAATATTAGCCTCTGTAGCTGCTTTGTCATAACAGAGTGCATCTCTGAGCTAGACTGGAGCGACTGATACCTTGTCACATATTCAGTGCTTCTGCTAAGGGTTAGAATTTAACTTTGTGGTTGCCCATTCCCACTTGTTTGTGTTCCCTCTTCACATGCCTATTCAGCATGAATAGAACCTGTACAGTATAGCAGTCTCTCCACAGATATGGCTTACTTTCTGCAGTCGGTGCACACGTTGATTACTCATTCAGGACTGAAAATGAGATGCGGCTCAGACACTGAGGTGTTGCTGTTACATGGTTCCAGATGCATTACTGAATGCACAGGGAGGTCAAGTAACATGCCTGTGGTCATGTGGTGAGTCAGCTTTAGGTCCTGAATGATCCAACCTAATATCCCTTTTTGAGAAGGTGTTTAGGGGTTTGTGTCAATTTGACCACACAGTCTGTCTCTTGAAGGCTCAGAAATTGATTTTTAGTAGCAGAATTCTGTACAGGCTCCAGACATATCATGCCTTGTGATATCTGGTCTCCAAGAAGACAACTTAAAAGCTGTTGGGACTCAATCTGACAGCTTTTTAACCATAAGCAGAACAGGTGGTCACTTTTTAATTAAATGCAAGTATTTAAGACACTTTCAAGCTAGCATTTTTGTTTCAATATACGTAGATCATGGATTTGACTGTGTAGTGATACTTCTACAATGTCCAGCACAATGCTCTTCTGCTTTGATGCTTCAAAATTTCCTGGAAATGAGCAGGAAGAGCTAGAGCATGATTGGATATGTGTTCTTCTTGCTGCTTTTTTTCTGTAATGTCTTGTTTTGTGGTGCTTGGTCATTAGCCTTTCAAGACTTACTTTGGATGAGACACATTTCATTTCCATTCATCCAAAATGGGTAGAGACCAAATGACTCACAGTAGCAGAGCTGGGAATAACTAAGAGCCAGACTTCATAATATCAGTTGTCTGTGTGATGATGCAGTTATTACCATTTCAGTGGTTTGTTTTTCTTTGGGAATATTACATTTTCATGATACCAGTTTGAGGTTGGTGCTGTATGCTCCAATAGTATTGTCAACCTTTCTGAATTAAAAAGAAGCAAATTGACATGATAGCCAGGTAAGATTAAGACAGTACTGTTCTCTTGTACTGTAGTTTTCTCATCAGGTGGTAATCTCCTGATTC